GTTGTTGGGTGGGTGTTTGCATGTTTGTGCTTGTGTTTGTGGACCTAGACTGGTGAAGGAGACGAAGCAATGGACGGCATTGATGATGAAGAGCTGGAGGGCCGGGCCAGTGAGGACGAGAGTTCTGACGAAGACGAAGAACAGATTGTAAATCGTCGCCAGCTGGAGAAGCTGCGTCATCAGGAGTTGGCTGCTAAAAAACAAGAGCGCAATCGCCGCCGTCAACTTGCCAAGGCTGAGCAGCAACGTCAAGAAAAGTTGCAAAGTGCTGGAGTATCATCTCGTGGACAATCAACAATGTCTGCAGCTGACATTGCAAGAAAACAGAAAATGTATGCATGTCTTGTTATTAGATATTTTTGTTGCTGCTGCTGCTGTTGGTGCTGCTGCTGCTGCTTTTGTTGCTGCTGCTGTTGCTGTTGCTGCTGTTGGTGCTGCCGCTGCTGCTTTTGTTGCTGCTGCTGTTGCTATTGCTTGTGTTGTAGTTAGGTGCTGATGGATTGAAGTATTCTTTCCTTTGCAGTGTGTTGTTTGTTGATGTTGACATTGGACACTGCTCTTAGTTTCCATGTCACCGTAACTGGGTTCTCTGCTCTGGCAGCTGCCACCACCACCACTGCTGCTACTGCTGGTGTTGGTTGTGGTGGTCATGTTGGTTGTGGTCGTGGTGGTGCTGCTGTTTCTGGTGCTGCTTGTGGTACTGGTGCCCATGGTGCTGCAGCTGTCCGCATGCCCGTATTCATCACTTTCACCCTTGACATTGTTGTGCATTTTTCTTTCTGTGTGTGTGTACGTGCGTGCGTGTGGTGTACACACATGCGCTTATTCGTGTACAGGAGTAGCTTTGGCTCTCGTCTGCGTGATGTCCGTGAAGACGGTGATGTGATACGTAGCAGTCTGTCGGATGGCGGACACGGCAGCAAGCAGATAACATTCGCCGTTAAGGTAACATCTATGGTGTGCCTAGCTGATATTAAATTTTATCAGGCTCGACGCCTCGTGGGGCAACTGTCCCATCCGATATCTGTATCCATATCGTAAAAGCTTCTAATAACGTCCACCCTCTATAACACCCACCCTCTATAACGCCCACCCTCTATAACACCCACCCTCTATAACACCCACCCTCTATAACACCCACCCTCTATAACACCCACCCTCTATAACGCCCACCCTCTATAACACCCACCCTCTATAACACCCACCCTCTATAACACCCACCCTCTATAACACCCACCCTCTATAACGCCCACCCTCTATAACGTCCACCCTCTATAACGTCCACCCTCTATAACGCCCACCCTCTATAACGTCCACCCTCTATAACGTCCACCCTCTATAACACCCACCCTCTATAACACCCACCCTCTATAACACCCACCCTCTATAACACCCACCCTCTATAACACCCACCCTCTATAACACCCACCCTCTATAACACCCACCCTCTATAACACCCACCCTCTATAACACCCACCCTCTATAACACCCACCCTCTATAACGCCCACCCTCTATAACGTCCACCCTCTATAACGTCCACCCTCTATAACGCCCACCCTCTATAACGTCCACCCTCTATAACGTCCACCCTCTATAACGTCCACCCTCTATAACACCCACCCTCTATAACACCCACCCTCTATAACACCCACCCTCTATAACGTCCACCCTCTATAACGCCCACCCTCTATAACACCCACCCTCTATAACGCCCACCCTCTATAACGCCCACCCTCTATAACGCCCACCCTCTATAACGTCCACCCTCTATAACGTCCACCCTCTATAACGCCCACCCTCTATAACGTCCACCCTCTATAACGTCCACCCTCTATAACGTCCACCCTCTATAACGTCCACCCTCTATAACACCCACCCTCTATAACACCCACCCTCTATAACACCCACCCTCTATAACACCCACCCTCTATAACGCCCACCCTCTATAACGCCCACCCTCTATAACGCCCACTACCTGTGTACACGCCCAGGTGCCATGTGTTGACACTCTTGTCCCATTTCCTAGCCCACCTCTATGTGAACGCCCATGGACAGACGTGCAGGCTCAGTACAGAGGGTGGCGTATGCACGACACGATAGTACAGTATACAGTGCACTGCGCTAACCTCGTACGTAGTACAGTTGATTTGAAAATCAGTCTGATTTCACCGGAAATAACGCCTGGGCCCAAATTAACGCCCGTGTTCTGGACCTTCACTTACGTTTCCGCCCAGAGCCTTATTACAGGCCTTTTATGGTATATAGACTAGGGCTGCATTACACACTGCCCTCTGCTGTACCAACGGGATTCCTTTATAAACACCATGTCAATTCGGTCGTGCATGTATGGTTCCTAGTTGCTCTCTGCCGTATAGCCTGATCTGATTTTCATTGTTTGTGTGCGTGTATGTGTGCTCGTGTGTGTATATGTGTATGTGTGAGGTGTGTATATATATATATATATACACTCAGACACAAAGGATCTCCAAGTTTCTCAGTGTTGCTACTCTGAGTTTCGTGCAAAAGCACTCTTCAGGCAACTTACTCTTCTCTCACATCAGTATCCCTTTACATACCAGAAAAGACGAAAAGAAGCACCCTAGGTGGGAATCACAGGTGGAGAAAAGAAGCACGCTAGCCAGTCTAGGTGGGAATCACAGGTGAAGATAAATGTGGCAAGTGTGGTAGTGTGAGCAATCGCGCAGGCCGGGTGGTGTGCATAAAGTGAAGTAGGATGCATGCACATTAGATAGCAGGAGTTCTGTATAATATTATGTGTAACAGATAGCAAGCGCAGTCTACAGTTCAGGTCACCTCCGATAGGAGGTACTTGGTGCTGTGGCGACATATTGTGACCAGGCTGCATCTGGTGTTGAGGAGCGATGCCTTGTCACTCTTCATTATGGCGATCTTCTCCGATAGGCATAGGTTGCACCGCTTCGAGGTTCTTTTGTAGGCGCTGGATCTCTGCCTGATTCTCCACGAGATGTTGACGTCTTCACCTGCCTCCTTCAATGCCCATGCATGCTTTGACAATTCTGTGCTGTTTCTGTGTGGGGCATAATGAAGAGTGACAAGGCATCGCTCCTCAACACCAGATGCAGCCTGGTCACAAAATGTCGCCACAGCACCAAGTACCTCCTATCGGAGGTGACCTGAACTGTAGACTGCGCTTGCTATCTGTTACACATAATATTATACAGAACTCCTGCTATCTAATGTGCATGCATCCTACTTCACTTTATGCACACCACCCGGCCTGCGCGATTGCTCACACTACCACACTTGCCACATTTATCTTCACCTGTGATTCCCACCTAGACTGGCTAGCGTGCTTCTTTTCTCCACCTGTGATTCCCACCTAGGGTGCTTCTTTTCGTCTTTTCTGGTATGTAAAGGGATACTGATGTGAGAGAAGAGTAAGTTGCCTGAAGAGTGCTTTTGCACGAAACTCAGAGTAGCAACACTGAGAAACTTGGAGATCCTTTGTGTCTGAGTGTATAACCCCGCTCTGTCTTAGGACATTGAGCACTTTTTGCCGACGCAAGAAATACTTCTATTGTTCTATATATATATATATATATGTGTGTGTGTGTGTGTGTGTGTGTGTGTGTGTGTGTGTGTGTGTGCGCGCGCACGTGTGTATGTGTGTGTGTGTGTGTGTGCGCACGTGTGTATGTGTGTGTGTGTGTGTGTGTGTGTGTGTGTGTGTGTGTGTGTGCATGATGACAGACTGCTGAAGAAAAGCTGCAGGAGGACAAGCTACGCGCTCACAAGAGAGAGCGCCGCGAACACGCCCGTCCCGCCATTGGAGCCGCCCGGGGACGAGGTCGGGGTAGAGGGGGCCGTGGTGGCTTCCGCGGTGGCTTTCGTGGAGCCCCGAAGTGGAAGCGGAAATAAGAACTGAAGACTCGAACGACGCTTGTTTTATCATTCCTAACTGAACATATCTTACCGGAAGTTGACCTCTCTGGGCGCACCCTCTAGTACTTTTGTACATAGAGAACATCTTCATCTTCGTTTTCTCCGGTTAGGTGTTGTACACACAGTGAGATAAGCATTTGGAAAATGCTGATTTTTAAGTGCAATCAACGTGCTCATGATATGTGCGTGTGTGTATGTGCGTATGTGTGTGTGGGGTGTGTGGGGTGTGTTGGGTGTGGGGTGCATGTGCTGTGCTACTATACAGTATAGCACCTACAGAAGAAGGGGAAACAAAACAAAGAGAAGCAAACAAAAAACAACAAAGTGTGCTTAGGCGCTACATGAGCTCTGCTGGTGAGGTACGCGCGGTGGACTCCCCCGACCAAGGTCTCGGGATCGGCGTACACAGCAAGCACCATGAGGGGGCGAGAGGAATGTGAGAGAGAGAGAGAGAGAGAGAGAGAGAGAGAGAGAGAGAGAGAGAGAGAGAGAGAGAGAGAGAGAGAGAGAGAGAGAGAGAGAGAGAGAGAGAGAGAGAGAGAGAGAGAGAGAGAGAGAGAGAGAGAGAGAGAGAGAGAGAGAGAGAGAGAGAGAGAGAGAGAGAGAGAGGGAGAGAGAGGGAGAGAGAGGGAGAGAGAGGGAGAGGGAGGGAGAGGGAGGGAGAGGGAGAGGGAGAGGGAGAGAGAGGGAGAGAGGGAGAGGGAGAGTGGACTCCCCCGACCAAGGACCGAGGGAGAATGAGAGGGAGAGGGAGAGGGAGAGTGGACTCCCCGACCAAGGTCTCGGGATCGGCGTACACAGCAAGCACCATGAGGGGGCGAGAGGAATGAGGGGGCGAGAGGAATGAGGGAGAGAGAGAGAGAGAGAGAGAGAGAGAGAGAGAGAGAGAGAGAGAGAGAGAGAGAGAGAGAGAGAGAGAGAGAGAGAGAGAGAGAGAGAGAGAGAGAGAGAGAGAGAGAGAGAGAGAGAGAGAGAGAGAGAGAGAGGGAGAGGGAGAAGGCCTGAATCCATGTCATACTAATGGCCAAGCTTTGCGGCTACTGTTGTGTAAACATGTAGCCCGGAGGAGTACCAAGGGGGGGGGGGGGAGATTTCACCTCAGTGACCTTCACCTTCTGTATACTAGTACTTACTAGTATCTACAAATACATACAAGCACTACAAACAGTACTACAACTATTACTTACAAGTACCGATGACTTTTAGAAGCCGGCTGGCATGGTGCATAATAATAATTAATAACCTTTTTTGTGGGTTCAGCGTACCGTGACACATCTAGTGGGCGTTCGAATTGTCTTCATCAACTGTTCGAACACATTTTTGGAAGAGGTTCAAGTACTTGAAGTGTCCCATTAAAACGGTTTCTATCAAGACAAGAGTACATCAGGTTTTCATGATTGTACTCTTGTTTCTTGTTAGCTTTTTCAGTGGAATTGTCATGGCAATGATGACGTCCGATCAGATCGACCATCTCGATTTACACAGTCATGACGTAGCTATTCCAAACCGTCTTCAGAACTACGTACTCCGTAGCTACATGTAAATTGTAATCCACCTCTCCCGTCGGATGAGGTTGTTCGAGGAGTTTCGTTTTTCTGAAGAGACCACCTCCTCTTCAGAAAAACGAAACTCCTCGAAAAGTCAAAGAGTAACAATTCGAACGCGCCCTTTATAGTACAAACAGGTCTACGAGTACAGTGGTCCCTCTATAATCCGGCACCATTTGTGCCACGGAAAATCTGCTGGCCCCAGGGAGGGTGCTGGATTAACAAATCTGATTTACTGCTGCAATGTGCATGGAGAGGACATTTTGGCTACTGAAAATTGTGCTGGTTTATCGAGGGTGCTGGATTATAAAGTGCCGGATTAGAGAGGGACGACTGTACAACTAACTACTACATGTACAGTCAACTTCGCCAATAACGACTGCGGATATAACGACAGTTCGCGAATAACGACAGAATTTCCATGCCCAGAGCAAATTTAAAGTCCCATCCCACTGTAATACATATAATGAGACTTCGGGTATAACGACACTTCGGGAATAAGGACAATTTGTTGATGCCCCGCCGAGTGTCCGGTTATAACATAAGTCATAAGCGAAGTAACGTTAGTTGACATGTTGTAAGCACTGTACTACTGTACTACTAGTGCATTTGCCTGCCCGGGGTCTAGTCGCTGGCGTATGATATGCCATCATATGGCGCTCGCTGCGACCGGGGATTCGCTGCATGCATGGCCACGGACAGTGACGTAGGATCACCATGAAGTATGACCACAAAATGGCCCACACTGGGCCACAGTCATTCATGAACCGTCTACACTCGGACTAGCTACAGGGTCTACCAACGACGTAACGTCTACAGCACCTAGCAAAAAGGTGCTGCGTTCGCGCAGCTGGGTCTCTTTCGTGTTTTGTTCATTTGAGTACCAGTGCACAGTACTCTTCTCTGTCGTCGGGGTTTTTCTATTTTATTGTCTTGGTGAAGCACAGCAAACAGTCATTGTGCTGTATTCAGGCCAGAGGAAACAGTTCGTCTTTCTCCAGTGATGAGTCATGAGCAGTCTACTGGTGCAGGTCTAGAGCAGCGTGTAAGTAGTGTTTTAGCGTGCTCACACAACGTTACAGCAGTAACTGTTACACAACTATTAATTTTCTTGTGTTCTTGGAGCTGGTGCTCCTATTCGTCTTCTTCGAGTCTTTTTGAAATGCATTCTCAATAATCATCTTTCTTCCCATTCTCGCAGCTCGCTGCTCTTGACGTGTCTCAACCCGGCTCCGGCCAGCAACGGCTGGGAGGTAAGCGTGCGTGTATTTTTTTTTAGTAGCGCTCTTTGTCACAGTGTTGATTCCGTGTACGTAGCGTAGCGACTCTGCTGCGGTGACCTTGTAAGAACGTTTCTCTCTTTGCAATCCTTTTCTTAGTTCGCATTGTGTTTGAGGATTTTCTCGTTCACTCTAGCTGTTCTTGTCCATGTTTGTCCTTGTTGGGTTCAATGGCGGATACTTCAGAAATCGGAGTGTTTGCGTTTGCGGACGTGCATGCGTGCACGCTAGCATGCTTTCCGTGCGTGTGCTTTGTATTTGACTATGAGTCTGTACTGAGTCTGTGTAGCGCTTCCAGTGCAGCGCGTCGTGCGTGCATGCATTTTTGCATGCGCGCGCTCAACGGGGTTGTCGGCCATATTGGAGCATTTTTTTCTGTCCGAAATAATTACGAAACACGTACGTTTAGCTGTGTGGCCGTGGCCGTGGGTGTAGTTCTACATGTGTGGGTGCACTGTCTAGTGTAAACTGGTATGTTTATGTCGCTTGATATCGTGCACGTGCCCAGTCGAAGCCGAAGTTTTGCTCGGCGACTTTTCTTTGCATTGGCTTTTGTTCTGCTGATCATGATGGACGGTCACACGGCGCGGATGTACTTACTGTTCTTCACCAAAACTGCCTGTTCTGTTCTGTGTGACGGGCAAATGACTAAAATGGATAGGGTGACGAGATGCGCTGCGTTCACTCTCCTCCTGGTCAGATGCCGTTTTTGGTACAGGGTGATGTAAGAGTCAGGTGCAAATCAGTGACGCACTTAGCCCTTGCCTTGGCCTGATGCATTTTGTAACGAACACTTGTCGCCTAGATCTTGCTGGGAGCGACTAGCGAGTGGTATGGCTCATTGGCAACAGGCGAACATGATGAGGGGATATCGAAAGAGAAAAATAATCACGTTAGACAGACAATGACTATTGTACTCGTACCGTGCTGTCCTATGACGAGAAGTTGGAACTATCGCTGAGAAGCGGTCCGTCTTCGTCGTCAACACCGGACAGACATTCCGTAGTGTAGTACTAGTGAGTAATACTGTACTAATAACGCTAGCTTCACTTTGACTGTGTCAGTGTGTGCTGTTTTGTTCCGTCGAATTGTTTGTCAGTAGCCGCTAATGCTTTCTTTCTGTTTCGTTGTGTATCAATAGCCGCTGTTTCAACCAGTCGACTGGTTCAGTGTTTGTAATGTTCATGATTGTCCAAGTGAAATGTTCTCTTCCAATGAATATGTAGCTCTACATGTAGGTGAGAGAAGTACAGGTGTGACGGGTTGACGGCCTGAGTCGTAGTTTTGTTTCCTCCAGCAAAAACTGTTCGCTGCTGTGCGTGCGTGTGTGGTGTGTGTGTGTTTGTGTGTGCCCCCAGCAAGTGCAGGGTGTGCATAGGTAACCGTCTTAGCCGTTTTTTGTTTTGTTTTTGTACTCCTGTAGTGTAGACCAGATGTGCATTGGGGGTCAATTGCCATGGCTTCGCCAGTTGTGTGGGTTAGGCAGTTATCTGGTACTACTACTAGTCTTGGTCTGATTCATTCAGATCTTGTCTGCTATCGTTGCTATAACTTATATTAGAGAAAATCTGTGGGTGTACATCCAGTGCATTTGCAGATTTGTGTGCTTCTCTTGCGACGCATGTACATGATAACTTGTGGTGTGTTTGTACATGTGCACGTGCACATGCGTGTGGGTGCGTTTGTGCGTGTGTGTGTGTGTGTGCATGCGTGTTTGTGTGTGGCCGTGTGTGTTTGTGTGTGCACGCATGTGTGTGTGTGTGTGTATGTGATATTTCTCTCAACTGTGCTATTGTTTTTTCAGGGTCACAGACCCGAACTAGTTACGTTCCGCCGCACCTACGTGGAGGTGGTGGCAGCGGAGCCCCTGACCAATTCCGGCAGCCACCTCAAGACTTTAGCGGCGGCGGTGGTGGTGGTGGTTATAGTGGAGGAGGCCCACCGCCCAGTGGTGGAGGTGGTGGTGGTTATTCTGGTGGTGGCGGTGGCGGAGGCTACGGTGGTGGTCAGGGCTACGCTGGTGGTCCCCCTCAGGGTGGCTTCGGAGGTGGAGGTGGCGGCTATCGCGGCAGTGGCGGCGGCGGTGGACGTGGTGAGTTGTGCGGCCATTCACTGTAGTCGATATTACAATCTCAGACCCGCCGGAATTTGTCCGGTTGGTCAGGTTAAAGGGGAAGTATACCCTAGCGCACAGTTTTTGTCTCCGTGTTCGCTCAAGAGCATTCACACGGACATATCGGAACAGTTCCCGTCAAGGTGGCTAGAAAGTAACGTTATCCACGGGGTTGTGAATAACAAATGAGCGTCGAATGAAACGTGGCTTTCTCACTATAACCATGCTCGTGTCACTGTGCCTGCACACGCGCACACACACGTGCGCATGCACGCACACACATGCGCATGAACACACGCACACACTCTCACGCACACACTCACACACACACACACATACACGTGCGCGTGCACACACACACTCACCCGCATACACACACACATGAATGCACTGGCACCGTAGAAAGAGGATGACTCGTTGTTTTACTGCAATGCACTCCAGTGCTGTGCCTGCTTTGTGATTGTGTACATGTCGGTAGACTTTGGCGGCGGCGGCGGTGGTTATGGAGGTCGTACTCGTGGCTTCTCCAATGGCTATGGAGGAGGAGGCGGCGGCGGTGGAGGCCAAGGCTTTGATGGCGGATATCGGCGTGACGGGGGCTACCGTGAAGGACCGTCGAGCAGCCGCGGGTACAGCGGCGGTGGAAGCCGCAGCTTCTATGATAAGAGTAAGTTCATTTTGGTGACGTACCGTGGTTTAGTATGGGGCATTGTAGCTGCTGCTGAGTGGGCGTTTGTGTGTGTGGGGGGGGGGGGGGGTGCGTTTCAGCCAGAGGGGGAGAGAGAGAGAGAGTGTGTGTGTGTGTGTGTGTGAGAGAGAGAGAGAGAGAGTGAGTGAGAAAGATATTCAATGTCACTTGTGTCTGATTCTCCAGGCACGAACTACAATAGCATCACCGCCGAGGACTGGGCCAGGCCTTTGGATCGCGATGAGAAGCTAGAACGGTACAGCATATACTTAGACAATGTAGTTACAGAACAGTGCAGCACACCTAAATCACATTTACACACGCAGTTTTGCTCTTTGTTACTGGAAATCCAGAACAGGTTGTGAGCGTTTCAATTTTGTATATTTAGCACACCTGCTCACGGTATGTTACTAGACAGACCAGTTTGCACTTGGAAATGTTTACGATTGGATTCACTTTCGTTAGTTTTTTTACTACAGTTCTCTGCATTATTATGCACCTGCTTACTTTTGCAAATTCACACGCACCGCGAAAACTGAGAACGATTCCAGATTTCCCGGTTATCAGTACACTCATACCTCGGCTATCCAGACCCCAAAGTAATTAGTTACGGGCACTTCGGTCTACCGGGATTTGTCAGTGGAAATATTACTACTCTTTTGCCCGGTCTCGGACCGCCTGGATAAACGAGGTACGAGTGTATTGGTACGTAGCTGTCCTAACTGGTGCTTGCACGTGTGTGTGTGTGGCCCGTGCTGCAGAGAGCTGTTCTCCAGCGGACCCACAGGTATCAACTTTGACAAGTATGACGATATCCCTGTTGATGCCACCGGCAACGACGTACCCCAGTCAATTTCAGACTTTGGAGACATCATCCTGGCGGAGAGTTTGAAGGAGTGCATTGCGCTGGCCAACTATCGCCAGCCCACACCGGTCCAGAAGTATTCCCTGCCCATCGTCACGGCATCACGTGACCTCATGGCATGTGCACAAACTGGTAAGACCACTCAAGACTTGGTCCGGAAAAAATTCCTTCAAATCCTAAAGGGCTTCCCCGGCCTTCAATTCCCAATCACTTACTTTCCCATCCCAAGGCTTTACCTTTCAATCCCAAGGCTTTACCTTTCAATCCCAAGGCTTTACCTTTCAATCCCAGGAATTTACCTTTCAATCCCAGGAATTTACCTTTCAATCCCAGGAATTTACCTTCAAATCCCAAGAATTTACCTTCAAACACTACTATACCCCTGTTTTGGCTGATAGTCCACGTTTTGAGGAGAACCTCAATTGGCTATCAAGTTATCCGAAATCTCTAGGAGCTACGAGACCACCGTAGTCTGCATCAAGTCGGAGACAAGCTCTAAGTTACGCTCTGACCACATATTTGAAATTTGTGACATGCACTCTGCTGGATTTCAGAGTAATGCAACGTCGTACTCAAGCGCTTTGGGAGAATGGAATGGCAACTGTTAAAACGTTGTCACCATCAACATTTCGGTTTTTCTTCCTGTTCTCTTCTTTCCGTCCCTGTTGTACAGGATCTGGCAAGACCGCAGCTTTCCTTGTGCCGGTTCTCAATCAGATCCTGAAAGGAGGCCCGCCAACGATGCCGGAATCGGTAAGCCAACAACTATGCCAGCTGAATGCGCTCTAAAACAATGTTCCAGGGGTGTAGCAGCCAGTCCGGCCGGTCCGGCTTTGGCCGGATCACTTATTTTAACACATGCCAAAAGTGTCAAGAATGCAGGATTTTGCACCCTCATTTCAATATTTCCCCGGGGGATACCCCGGACTCCGCCGAACCGCCTCTAACGGCGTGTGCACCCTGTAAGAAGACCTTAGGGTCTGTGAGAATGCCCAAGTAAAATAATAAAATACAACAACAACAACGGCGGCGCTACGCGCCTGTGTTCTCCATAGAAACTTTAGGGTTCACGGATTGGCATGCTAGCGGCGCCAGCTACATCATGCACGTGACAGGCGCGTGCATATACTGTCCCACACAATCGGTCAGTGCTCAAATCGCATTTTCCCATCAATATCACTCACTTTCACCTCTACGGGATTCATTACGGTTGGCTCAAACTGCCTGAATTTTTGAATCCACACGCACGAAAGACGTTCCAAGACTTCCACCGTTCGTATTTTTTCAAACGAGTTCCGGGTTTTCCAGTAACTTTGGCCAAAGTTCGGCTAAAAAAACAGGGGGAGCCGCTGCGTTTCCGTAAAATATTGAACGGTAGAAGGATAGCCAAGGTCGAGAGCAAAACAACAAGCCATCATTTGTCAAAATCGAACAACAAACGGCTCAGCGCATCTATTTTCCGTGCACGCGTGCGCGTACTTTGGCCGACAAGGTGTGCAGAATTTCTGAAGAAGAAGAGCAGCAGCGCTCGGAACAGCCGTGCTGGATACTTCCAATCCCGACACGATGGAGCGTGTTGGCTGTCGTGAGCTGCTGAAACGACCATGACATTTCTTTTTCTTTGTATACCCTACATATCTTGACGTGCCCTTGCTCAGTTTCGGCCTCTTTACAGGAAGAATATTTTCTTCCTTGGCATCAGCGGCCGAACAGCAAGAAGAGCAACAGATCGAGATTTGCAGGGCAAACAAAGGATGCGTGCAGCTACATCCAGTCAGGTTCGACGCTGCTGCGCTTTGCCAGAACCTCAGCAGATAAGAAAAGACGACAGTGTCTCAGATGGAACTGGATCTTTCGCCAAGACCGCCACCGCCGCCATCATCAAGTCCAGGTCAGTCAGAAAAACCGAAGCAAAAATGCAAAGCCCGAGTGAAGTGAAGCCACTGAAGCCAAGGAAAAATTCAAAAAGTACTCTCTCCGGCTAGACTTCGAGTCGATATTTTTTTACTTCGATAGGCGCTGTCGCGGCCTGTAGCGCGCGTCCATAATCCAAAATGGAGGTGCACGTGATGGGTGCTTTTAGTGGCAAGCCGTGAACCCTAAACTTTCGTGAATATAAATATGAAAATACCGGAAAGATCCAAGTACGAAATAGTAGTAGCGACCTCTGAGTTAATTTTGTGAGGAAGTTGGTGGCTCCCACACTAGAGCTCGCGCTTTTCCCACCGATCTGACTTGACACTTGACTGCCTCACGACTGCCATCCAGAGGACACGCTAAGTCCATCGACCTTCCACTCGGCAAACCTGCAAGAAAGCGCCACTCCCTGCTCTCTATACATAGTGTTTCGGGGGATTTGGAGAGAATGTGGCATTCCAAGCAGCTTTCGTTTCTAGAAATCCATGCAGAAAGCAGTGAGTTCTGGCTAGAGAAATCCAACCTCATGACTAAAGTAGCGCCGCGTAACGAGTGCACAGACCGGTGTGTGTAGTGCTATGGCTGCGTAGCGCCCGGCAACGCTATTTTATTCATGGGTTTGGATTTCCGTTTGGCCAGCACTGTAGTAATTTATTTTGTATGCTGCACTCGTCTTCTTTGTCTCCTTTGTCTCCTTTGCAGGCACGTGGCTACAGTGGTCGTCGCCGCCAGTGCCAGTATCCTATGGCGCTGGTGATTGCACCCACACGTGAGCTGGCCCTGCAGATCTACGCCGAGGGCAAGAAGTTCTCCTACCGCTCTCACGTGCGCCCGTGCGTGTGCTACGGAGGCGCCGATATCAACGTGCAGATGAAGGACATTGAGAGAGGCTGCCATCTGCTGGTGGCCACGCCAGGACGTCTCGTTGATCTGATGGAGCGTGGACGCGTGGCCATGGATTGCATCAAGTATGTGTGCATTGTGGATATGGGCGTGGGTGTCGGTGCATGTGTACATGTATCGGGACCATGGCGAGGTATGTGTGTACATGCATGCATGTATGGACGTGTGTGTGCGTGAGCGTGTGCGTGAGCGTGTGTGTGTGTGCACATGTAAGAGTAAACTACAGGACTGCAACTTGCTTGCAGTCCTCAATCTTGAAATGAAAGTACCGTAGAAGTCCGCAAATAAGTACGTACTTACTTTCGAATTTAGTGGCCACACCCGTACTAACTTTCAGACGGGTCTGACTTTCGGACGGGTACTGACTTTCGGGCACGAACAAACTTTCGGACCTGACTTGTGTGTAGCGGAGAAGTTAAATTCATGTCGATGTACATGTACATGCTACACGCTGCATGTGAGCACCGTACCGGTACAGGTCCTCCCTCGTTAGTAGATAATCTCTGGGCCATCGAAAAAGTTATCTTATAAGGCCAAACTAAAAAAGGTGTGTGGTTCGACTAACATGGACATTTTTTTTACGGGCGGGCGGGCGGATTTTTTTTTATATATTTTTTAGTACATGTAAATACACTGTACTGCCTTTAGACACCCAGAAACAATCGGAAACAAACTATCCAGAAATCAGTATTTTCAGCTCAGAACGACTCGTGACTTCGCAATTGGGGGATTGATCAGCTCTGGAACGAGAAGAGAATAACTTCAAGCGGTGACTCTGACTGTCCAAATCATCAAGCAAATGAAGAACGATGCGAGTTGAAAATAAGTTCGGGAACTACTTCGAAGTACAAATTGTACAATGTACCGGTACATGTATTGCTAGTTTGGTGTCGGCGTGCACGAATACATGGGCTTTTTTCATCGACGCTTCCTGTGCTTGCACACATGGAGCAGCAAGTTACCGGTACAGGTGAAATATCGTTCCCAATACACGAGGAAAGTGCAATCTCGTCTGTCCTTCATCCCAAAACAGAAGGCCGTCCTTAACTGGAACGAGGCAATCACTCTCAACCGGACGGTCACTTCAAAATAAGTCTCGCCAGTCTGCCGGTGGTCGTATCGAGTAGACTCTACTACCAGCACAAGGCAGCAGTCGTACCACTCACTGCACTGCACTGCAGTACAACTACAAGTGAAGTCCAAAAGGAGCCGCCTGCGTCCGCAGACTCGCGCTGCACAGCACGTACTTCCTCCGCGTCATTAAAATTGTCGTTTCCCACAGCGATTTTTCGAAAATTATTTTGTCCACTCGAAGGGCACAGAAATCAGCTAGAAATTGAGGCAGGGCATTGTCGACGGGCCAAGCTTTAGTTTGTGACCCCCCCCCCCCCCCCCCGCTTCGCTGCACTTGCAGCTAAGGTCGACGTCTTCATCAAAGTTTGAGGCAGAGCCTTCAGCACTCAACAATACGCTGAACAAGACGCGCGTTCAAATTCAGGTCAAGAAACTTCGTTTTCAGGCGATCCATGCCTCCAGGTGCCAGGCGATGAAGGCAAGCTAGCATTTTTCAAGTACACTGTAACGACCTTCCAGTGGGACAGGGTAAGCAAGCGCTTCGCTGATTTTGTTGGTGTTTTCAGACCTGCTACCTTCGCAGCAACATGCGCCACAAGTAGCGCATTTTAGGAATTTGAGACCACTTTGTTCTTGCCATCGCCAACTTCAGCAGTTCGTATTCAGCAGAGATACCAGGATTATTATACCCGAGCTTGCAGTTTTGACAAAATGCCCACGAGAACGATGTGGGACGGCACGAACTCCAGAAAACGAAATGCGCTCTGGGGCGGAATATTGCGGAGCGCGATGAATTTGCTTGGTGCGGAAGAGAGCTCCGACAAAGTTCGAGACCACCACGGCTTCAGCGACAAGTACACATTGCGCAGGAAGGGCCACACCAGTGTTCGAACACAGGAAACAGCGATTCCGACAGTCTGACTAAGACGAGCCAAGTCACAAATATTGCGGTGTGCGAAGCGACAATTTTAATGACTCGGAGGAAGTAGACGTGGACGTGTTCAGTCCACGTACGTCAGTCACACGACAGCCCGCCGAAAAAAAAGTTACGGTCGGGCTGAAAAATGTACAGCCGGTCGGGTGAGTTGAACCACAGACTTTTTTCAGTGTGGCCTAACGAGACTTATCTTGTAGCAGGACTAGCAGCTAATGGTGAAATAGGCACCACTTCGTACTCATCGGGGCTACCCTCGATACAACATAAATTATCGATGCTTCAACTCGTTATAAGATAATTGAAAATCTCCAACATAACTCTTCCTTGGATGCAAAGAATCGTCCATATTCACGAATACATAGATATAATACGTTCGTCTTTCTGCTTTATCCTAAGTGTTTGGCCTTGGTCCTGCATGGTCAATATTATCTTATACAGAGGGTTTGGCTCCCCAGGGACCTGGGCAAAGGGTCGTTATAACGAATTTTATGTACTAACGGATTATGTAGTAATCGGACCTGTAAACAGTGGTATAGACCACGTTTCGCCAGGGGATTTCAGATTTCTATTTACTAACGGGGTTTATGTACTAACCGGACTCGTTATAATTAGGGAGGACCTGTACTTAGTTTGGGCAGTATGTTTATCGGGCTTGACTTGACTTCACCAAACAGAGTCAAAAGAATGAAAGGGGGTATTTATTTCGGGCAGGTACTAACCACTAGTGTCTCCTGCATGATAGGAGGATGGCGGTGACACCTGAACCCCAGTCTCACGGATGTGCTTTCGTTCATTTCGTTCAGCATCCCAGGTGGCCGAAAATCAGTCCTGAACAAAGCGGCTATTCACACATACGAGTACATGGTGGCTGTGCAAACACTATGTGTGGTACATAGCGGCTATGCACACTCTAGATGTGGTACATAGTGGACATGCACAAAATGCCGTACATAGTGGCTAAGTCGTGTTTAGTAGCTATGCATACTATGGGTGGTACACATCGGCTATGGACGCTGTATGGGGTACATAGCGACTATGTACCCTATGTCTGGTGCGTAACGTGAGTGGCGTAGTGGCTACTAGGAACTGGCCCCTGGCCGGTGAGAAGGCATCCTTGCCTGTAAATCTGAAGTAAAATAAAACAACAACAAAAATAGATAGTGAGTGAATGACAAACGTATTGCTTTAAATGAAAGTTTTTGAACGAACTGGCCTCATGCTGTGTGATTTCTAGTCCTGAACATCATGTGTAACAAATGTCCTGGTCTTCATCACTTCGCCCTAATGCCTGCAGAGCCATCTGCTGGACAGGCAAGCAACTAGTCCCAGCACAGCCGATAACGTGCCATTAGGTCTGCTGTTTAGTATTCAGTTGTGTCCACTTTGTAGTAGGGGACCAGGTCGGGGCACACGTGTACGTGTCATTAACGTGCGTGTACTGACAAGTATTGTGCTATATGTGGCTGCACCCTGCAGGTATCTCACCCTGGATGAAGCTGATCGCATGCTCGACATGGGTTTTGAGCCGCAGATCCGCCAGATTGTGGAGGACAAGAGCATGCCGAGCACCAAGGACCGCCAAACTCTCATGTTCAGTGCCACCTTTCCCAAAGAAATTCAGGTATGTGTCTTGTGTCTCGTGTGTCTCGTGTGTGTGTGTGTGTGTGTGTGTGTGTGTGTGTGTGTGTGTGTGTGTGTGTGTGTGTGTGTGTGTGTGTGTCTCGTGTTACCAAAGCAGTTGGAAGTTGGACTAGTTCCGGCTCCGCAATCCAGTGTGTCGTTACTATAATAGCTTTCATGGCTGAGGTTGTTGGTATGTCTGTTGGCCTGGGTTCCCAGTACTCAGTAGCCGAGGCTGGTTGGTAAAGTAACTTCATTTCACTTCAAGGTACCAGTAACATTTTACCGTGGGCTTTGCGAATTCACTCCAAGAAGGAGGCGATGCGAATGATCGCCAAAAGCGAAAAAAAGTGGCTGATGAAATTTTGGAATTGATTGGTTGCGCTGTGCGGTTGTTTGTCTCTCACTCAGATGCTGGCCCGTGACTTCCTCAACGATTACGTGTTCTTGGCTGTTGGTCGTGTTGGCTCTACAAGTGAGAACATCACACAGAAGGTGGTGTGGGTGGACGAAGCTGACAAGCGTTCCTTTCTCCTTGACCTGCTTAACGCCACAGGTAATGGTGACATGACAGGTAATGGTGCGTTCGTGCGTGTGTGTCCTTGAGGTATTGAGGTATACTCACTTGCTTATAGAGATGGGGGAGGGGTATATCATAGTTGCAAAGTAAAGTTTACCCCCAGTCTCCTGGCCCATTGTTCGGCGTGACCACAGACGCATTAGCTCCATTTAGTCGGTTTACCATGCATGAAGGGATGATGCTGAACACCAGAGTAAACCTACTCATGAACAGATGAGAAAAGAATTCAGTTGCCGATGTTGCTGTGTTTATTTCTTATGGAGTCACTGCACATTTATGGTGTTATATTCATTTTGTTGATACATAATGTATTTGCACGTTGCATATGCCTTTTCTGTATAAGAGGAATTCTGTCCGAGCAGAAAGCTTCCACTTCCCACAGGCATCCTGTAGGACTGGGGATTTTTGCTGGATTGGGGGCCGCAGCGGAATTATCGATATTGATCACAGAACGGAAATGTTTGGTTATGACCATTCCCCATCCAGCCCCTCCCCCCTCCAACCCTTTGTGACCCCATTGAAAGTCGACAATTTGCTCACCTTCAAATAACATGCACTTTCGCTTGTATCTCTGCCAAACATTCACCGATTATTACAAACTTGCCACCACTGGAAAGGTATTTCCAAGACGAAACGACTAATGCCACACTCAAGCCAGCTATCTGCACGGCCTCTGCTCTGCGTGGCCTAGAATGCCGCTCAAAACAGCAGCCGTGCGCGAACAGCTCCAGCAAAGTTCAAACAGCCGCCGTTCCATTCTCCTTCATCACATCAACTTCAAACAAACTACAGCGGAAAGCGTGTTTCTAGCGCAAAATTGTGGTGTGCAGCATGCTTTAGTATGACGTAGCACGCTGGGGAAAACCCCTGCCAAGTGCAGTGCGAAAATTTGAATTTTTCGATCGGAGTGAAGATGTGAAGACCCCCTGCCAGAGTAAGACCGTATCCTGTTTGTGTTGTGTGTGTGTGTATGCACAGGACCACGTGCGTTGACACTGGTGTTTGTGGAGACACGCAAGGGCGCCGACGCCCTGGAGCACTTCCTGTACAGCGAGCGCTACCCGGCCACGTCCATCCACGGCGACCGCAGTCAGCGCGAGCGAGAGCACTCTCTGGCGACGTTCCGCGACGGTCGCACGCCAATCCTGGTGGCGACGGCAGTGGCTGCTCGCGGCCTGGACATTCCCAACGTGAAGCACGTCGTCAACTTTGACATGCCCAACGACATCGAGGAGTACGTTCACCGCATCGGTCGTACTGGCCGCGTGGGCAACTTGGGTAAGTTCTTACTGATTGGAGCCCTATGGTTCTCAGTCTACTAAAAGGAATGGGGTAAGAACAGCACCGAAACCTGATCCTGGCCTGTAAATTCACACATGTAGGAGTACAAGTTCCCGATACTTCTTGTTAGCGTGTGGAGAGTCTCCGCAGCACGGCTCACAGCCTTCAAGAAATCCGCCATCAGTGCCTTCAATACTTCTTGTTAGCGTGGAGAGTCTCCGCTGCACGGCCCACAGCCTTCAAGAAATCCGCCATCATCAGTGCCTTAAAGCAGCGATGACAGCAATAACTTATTCACCTGCTGTGCAGATGGTAGATCACCTGCTGTGCATGTAGATGGTAGATCCAATCACTGCATGGACTCTGTCAACATGTGCTGTTCGTCCTTGAAGAAAACAAAATCAAAACATCTTTGCTGCGCCAGAGAAACAACGTGCGAGGATTTCAGGTGCTATTCCTTTGCGGTGATACCATAGGCACTTGGAGTGTTCAGCGCTTGATCTCGGCAGCATACAAGTGCAAGTTCAATTGCTTGGCAACCTGATTTTCTATGATGCACTTTTTAATCCCGAGAGGAAATGAGTCGGTGGCCGGATGTTTTGACAAACTACTTTTTGTCATTGTGTCCGTTATGTGCAAGCAATAGTATTCATTGTTGTTTGTGTGTGTCGAACCATCGTGGTGCAGGCTTGGCTACATCTTTCTTCAACGAGAAGAATCGCAACATTGCCCGTGACCTGCATGAGCTGCTGGTTGAGTCCAAGCAGGAGATACCGACATGGATCGAGTCATTGAGCCGTCAGTCCAGCTTTAGTGGTGGAAGAGGCCGACGGTGAGTACACAGCATGTGTGTGCGCTTACACGCGCGCGCGTGTGCGTGTGTGTATGTGTCACGTGTGTGCAAACATGTACGTGTGATCTATAGTGCCATTGAGAGATAGCCGAGCCTCGTGGCTGAAGTGAAGTAACATTTGGCGAGGTCTGTGGCTGTCTGGGTGACCCTAAGGAAAACCTCTGTGTCTGGAAAAAAAGAAAAGGAAAATGTTTGCACGGTTAGGCAGCCACTGTGTGCCTTGGATAGGAAATTTGCCAGTGTACAACCGTACGCAGGTGTGGGCACATCACCCTGTCCAGGTTCGGTGATTACGACAACATATGTTTGTTGCTAAGGTTGTTTTTTGGTTCAAAGTTACCGTAGTGTCCCGACTTCACTGGTTTCGCCGCTGTGCACAATCTATCTAGTACCTGAATACTAGTTTTTTTTCTGCTTTTGTCAATTATTCGTAGCGTAACTAGCCATCTTATAAGGGTGGTTGTCTGAATGCGGTCTCGCACGAAAGCCGGATCTGTGGCTGCTTGTCACCGAGTTATGCTTTCAGTCTTACGGACATTTTAACAACATTTAATGGTGTCTGCTCTCCGAGCCATTTGAAGCGGGCATTCAAAGCCAAAAGATATCGATCGATAATGATAACTGGCAAAACGCTCAATAGACATAACCCGTAACTTCTTTGCGAGAACTGTGGCAATACGCCCAGTGAGAAGGCAGATTTTGCCTGTGCTTATGGTGAAGTAAAATAAAGCTAAACAAACAAACAACTTCTCATGCGTTCTAATGTTATCATGTTTTGGGTCTGATGCCAGCTGTGTCTCATATTTTGTTTCTTCCGTCTATTCAAACCTGCAGCCGCACTGGTGGCGGAGGAGGCTTTGGCGGCCGTGACTATCGACAACATGGCGGACACCCGGGAGGTCATCGCGGTGGCGGTGGCGGTGGCTTCGGCGGTGGTGGTGGTGGTGGCTACTCCGGCGGCGGCGGTGGCGGCGGCGGTGGTGGCGGCGGAATGCCCCACTATGGCGGTTACCCAGCTCAGTACGGTGGAGGTGGTCGTTCGGGCGGCAGCAGCGGAGCTGCCGACTGGTGGAACTAGGCCAGGCGTCGGTCGGTTTCTCTGGTGTGCAGGTCTTGATGCATTTTCATCTCGCGCTGCTGCTGCTGCGTTTTAGTTTCACGCGGCAGCGGCTCACTTAAAGCAACTGCATTTGGGTATGTTGCATGCCGTCTGAATACATTTGCCACGGCAAACTCCTGCTTCAAGGAGCTGAGTAGTGAAGGAGTCCCTCATGATCTGAGGCCGATTAGCTGGTATCTGATTGCTGGTGTTGCATTCCAGCAGCGGATGCGCAAGCAACAGCGTTCCTGTCCCTGTCCCGCAGGCGTACATCGTCGTCGTTCTCAAGCCATTCTTCCTCGCAGCTCTCTGTGTTTTCTCAGCTCAGCAGGTGTTCCACGTGTCCACTGCTGCGTCTGTTTCACTGCATTCCGTTCTGTTGTGTTTCGCTTTCCCCAACTGATCATGCATGCATCTTGTGACTCAACGTCATCACCATGAGGTATTGTTTACTGTGGTATTTGGCCCTCGCATGTGCGCTGGTCGCGCTCTCTCCGAGTCTGTGCGCGCGGCCGCAACTTCCCCATCACGGCGGTCTAGTACAGCAGCTAGCGCATCGGCCCGACACCGGCAGGTCTGGCAACTCCGTAGTGACTCCGTAGTACAGTGTCTGCCAGCAGACCGAGAAGCAAGGCAGCTGTTCGTTTTGTCTTCTCTCTAGTTCCGGCATCTCGTCGTCTTTAGTTGGTTGTGAGTTTGTTGATATTTCTCACTTGTTCCAGGCAGATGTCTGCGTGCGCCACCAACCGAGTCTAGATCTGTTGAGCATTACTGCCTTTGTCTCAGGCCTTGACTGTTCCTGTACGCTGGCAGTATCCACGATATTGATTGTGAAGCTGACAAATGCTCGACAGCTACGTGTTCTTGATTTCAACGTGTATCTGCTGGTGTTGCCCCTGCTGCTGCTGCTGTTCCTCATTATTTCTACTTCCCTTGACGCTCTACCTTGCAGGCTATTGGTTTCAGCGCCACCGAATTAACGGAATCTCATCCTTTGTTTGTCGGGTGTGACATGAAATTGTCGCGTTGAGGGCACCGTCGTGTGTGCCCTGCTGATGCGACACTAGTGAACTTGAAATTCCGTTTGAGAACCTGCTGCCTGCCTCGTCATGCTAATAGCTTTTTTTTTTTTTGAGAAAATGAGGAGCTGAAGCATCTATATCTTATTTACATCTCAACGACAACACTGCCTTGCTTTTGTTGTGTTGATAATTATCGTGACTCGTTGTCAAAATCCCCTACGGCATGTGCCACTACAGTGTCGATATTTAGTTATTGCCGCTTCGAATCTTTCATCAGTAAGTTATCCAGTACCTCATGCTGGCCACAAGACCACAGTTTGCAAAATTCCATGTTTCCTCAACCTTTCCTCTTTGTTTTTTTTTACTCTTTCTCTCTAGCTCTCTCCGATCTAGCTGCATGTTAGGCGACCGTAGAGTAGTTTTTCTTCCATAGAGCCCATAGCATGGGCATTATCAGTTTATCACATACTCGCAATCCATTACTTGCAAGTACAATTTGCATGCATTCCCTAGGATAATAATAATATTATGTCTGTAACGAATTTCAAGACCTGCCCTACGAGAAACCAAAAATTATAATAGTTTTTTTCTGCGTTCTTGCTGCTTTTTAGCCCTTTCGTTGTCACGAAAACACAGGAGTTTCCTGCAGCATTTTCCAATGCTTTTTAGAAAGCGTTCAAATAATCTTCCTCTGTCCATCTTGTTTGTTGCGTACGCGCGCGCTTGTGTGTGTGCACGCATGTAGAATGATGTAATTCCTGCGCAAGTTGCTATGTCTAACATAGTTTGTTCGCTATCATCGCTTCAGCGATGGGCAGGAGTATGAGCATGCACGCATGTGTGTATCAATCATTTTGTAGTATGCAAATAAAACAACCAGGAAAGTCTACACTATGAGAAAGTGACCAAACAAAAAACATGTAATGCGCCCTTGCACTTGCACACGCTAAATCCACACTCTGTACTCTTCTTGGCTTTGAATATAGATAGGCACCATTGCCTCTGAGAGTGGTGCTAACTTTTTGCTTGCAGATCTGTGCAGTCAAAAGCTTCATTGTATCACAGTACTGCGCTTAGAGTAATGATACTGACAGTGTACCCCTTGCACACGTCATTGTAACAGTTAGTCGAAACTATCTGGCTTCTGTACTTTGTGTGCTGATTAGCTATAAGTCCGGAATCACGAAGCTAAGTTATAGCAAGAGTACATAACCCCCCAGTGTAGGCGTGTTCTGCATAAGGTACTGGTCAAGCGTAGTCGGATCTTCTGATGTCATGCGTACGCTTCACCCCAGCACAAGGCCAGTCTCGAGGCAGAACACCGTTGTTTTTGATCCAAGAGTCCCCGTGACTCCCTGTGTCCCCCTCAGATCGGTACGGTATTATGACGCAAATATCTGATTACGTTCGACCAAGACCCTATCCAGAGCTGGATCAGGCGTTGCACACTCTGGGGTTTTGTACTCTTGATCAACAAACAACAAACTGCACAGGAAGAATACTTCAATCCATCAGTGCCCCGCCACAACACAAGCAATAGCGGCAGCAGCAGTACTGGCACCAGCACCAGCAACAAACGCAGCAGCAGCACTAGCAGCAGCAGCACCACCAACATCCATAGCGCCAGCAGCAGCAACATATACCAACAACATCAGCATGCATACATTTTCTGTTTTCTGGCAAGGTCAGCTGCAGACATTGCTGGGTGTCCACGAGATGATACTCCAGCACTTTGCAACTTTTCTTGACATAGCCCTAGACCTGGGATGTGAAATGGTGCAGGGCGCAGAGCTTACTGGATCGAATTTCCTTGACCAGCCCTGCACACGCCAGCAAGAGTAAACGAAACACAGGATGGAACTGGACACATTCCGATCAGATCATTCTGAATGCTTACTTCCACAAGTGTATACATCTTGCTGTTGTTGCCCCATTCCCCTAAGTCACACACTTCCATTGAAAATTGTGATAAGAAAATGCTCTGGAAGGCAACTTTAGTTGCCATGTTTGCGTTACGAGTGCTTTGCTCATCACCATCTCACGCATATTATGTCCACATTGCCTGTTAGCTGGGTTAAATCTCTGCCACAACAGTTCTGCGAGAGTGGAAGACTGTTTGAATTGCTGGGCACGTGCAGCTAAAAAGCAGCACGTGCCACGAGCAGCATGCACAAGTAGCAGAGAATATTATTTTGCTGTGACCAGCAAGTAAGTTCCGGCGTGCGCCCGCACACGCAGCATTAATCAGGAGGAAGGCAGAACTGTGCAGCATTCACTAGTACCGGTACGGTGTACTAGGCTACCGGTATACGCAAGTCAAGCAATTTTGGAAAATCTAAGCCACCGGAGAGTATTAACTAAGAAAAAGCGAGCGTACATGTTAACACTGGAGCAGCAGCAAAGTGCGCAAGTCGTCCAGCAACGAACTACAACGCCACATAGCAGTGAGAGAGCAACGCAGTGAAAATATATATAGGGCCACCTCTATAGAGGTTTGGACCGAAGCAGTCTTTCTTTAACGATCGCTGCTTGCACTCACTGCTACGACTGTGTGGTGCACTGAACCAGACAGCCAGTCACCCAGGTTCTTTTCCATGTGATCGTACGCAGGACGTTCTACATTCTGACAAATGGTATAAGTCAGATCGCCTCACCTGGGAAGGAATTCTTTGCTTCATAATGTGCTCGCAGCCTGGATCAGCTAAGAATTAGAAAACAGCTGAGTTACCTAATCTGATGCATCCTTGGGTTGGATAAGTCCTTTGGAGACAAGATCCGGAATTTCCACAGCTAGCCAAGGCCCCAGTCCAAGTGCCATTGCATGAGGAATTCCAAAACGAGGTACGTTACGTGCCCACAGTGGCTTGAAGTGATCTGTTAGACAGATCTTGCCTCCTCGGTACATCTTTGCTGTTTTCCCTTCCAGCTCGGGAAGAGCGATTTCAGGTGCCGTTGTTGGATACGTGACCGGAATATCAAACTCCACGTCGAACTCGTAACGAATAAGCTCATGGACGTACCAGCACTTGCCAAACCACTTCGTCCCTTGCTTATTCGACTGCAGGCGAAACCAATCACTGTCAGACTCTTTGTTGCTCTGTACGTAACGAATAATCGCTGAATATTCCTCCTTCAAACGAATAGGCCAATTCTCCGATTCGCGAGGGCCAGCATTCGTTTTCATCAAGGGAATCTTGGCAAGAGTCTTCTTAGTAGCCTCATCAACCATCTTTACAGGTGGAGTCTTGCACTTCTAGAGAAAAAAGTAAAGTAAGTTCTCAGCTCAAACACTTGAAACAGCCATTCAAATCAACCTGCTGATTATGATGATGGGTCTCTATTTTTTGTAGCTCAGTGTTCATTTTTTTTGTTTTGTTTTGTTTCTTTGGTCCTTTGTTTGGACGTAAATTAAAATTTTAGCTGGTGCATGGTGTGACGTAACGTTTCGAAAAAATGAAAAGATATCGAGAGGGAAAAGAATGCAAACATCCAAACAGGAATCGAAATCTTTTCTTTGACTGATTCGTTTGAAGTTTGTCCCAGAGCAATTGTTTGCAATGGATTCAGAACAGGCAGCAGCAGCTCCGGCGGTTGGCTTAGACGAGCTTTTTGCTGATTTTGGAGATGCTCCGGCTCCAGAACCCCACCAGGCCCCTGTCGTTGCGCCTGTGGAAAGAGTGCACCGCAAGGATCGGCTCGTTGCTCTGAAAGCTGAGAGTATCCTATTTTACTGTTGCTTGCTGACCGGTGATATAGTCCTCTTCCGTTCCTTTTCCTAGTAGCATGTAGTAGCGCAGGATATAAAAGTGATTCCTAGTTTGTTTAATTGATTCCGAATTATTCTCGTCACTGTCCTCTCCATCTAGCAACACAAGAATACTACTTTGTAAATTTATATGTGAAACAGTGCAAGTCTAAACATTTGAAAGTGCATAATGTACACGATACAGCAAAGGAAGAAAGCCGGAATTCTATGGCGAATTTCCTTGACATGTTCGAACTGGAAGATCGTCGACTCCGGGAGGAAGTTCGCTTGCTGAAAAGAATCAGGTATTACGCCATACATGTGCATGTACAGGAAAACTGCTCAGATCCGGACATCCCTAAATATTTACCTCCTTATCCGGGCACATCCAGCTCCCAAAAATGGCATTTCAACGGATAACGGCCCCAAAACATGTTGATTGGCATAACAAAATCTTTACTTGCGTGCAGTAAGTATGTAAGTTGTGAGTTACGGGCAATTCCTAGTTACGCGCAGTGTTCGGTCCCAACCTGCAACCCGGATCTGGGCAGTTTTACTGTACTAGCAATGCATTGAGAAACCCAGTGTTTGTCTAGCTTGTCTAGATCATAATGATAGACTGGTAACTATATCCGATATGCTAACGTGAATGTCGTAGAATACTAGACGGGCAGCATAGTAGTCCTGTAATTTGCACGGGTTGCGAGACGTATTCTGTTGAATTTCTTCAGCCGATATTTTACGGTCGGCCTTTCCTAACAGTTAATATGATTGCATGTACACCAGGGAGGCGATGCATCTAGGGACACAAAACTGGCAACAGAAATGTGAAACGAAGTGGGTTTCACTCCCGAGCTGCCTGTTCCTGTCGCCCTAGGGGACAGGGCCGATTTATGCACGCTCTCGTATGACGTCACTGGTAGGTGCCGTTTTTTGGGTCCAAAGGTCAAGGTCAAGGCTGTGACCTCGATCACGAGTTGCATAGGTCCTGGCCGCCATGGAACTTCCACCTTTGGGGTCTATGCACACATCATTACGGGTATTAAGATATTGTGTGTGGTCTCCCAAGATGCTACCACTCTGTGGTGTACATGTGCACGTGTCAGGAGAGATGTTGTGACGATGATGATGTGTTGGTGGAGAGTGTGCACGTAGAGCTAGGTGTGTTTGTACCGTGAAGTGCCCCCCCCCCCCCCCCCACACACACACACAGACATGCACTGTATAGCTCCCATATGGCCATTAGATCAACACTGTCAAGTGCAGTACGATGTACAACAATGCAGGCAAGTATGAAACGCTAGACTTGCCATGCTGGTTTGTGCATGCTTCTATCCACGGAAATGTCTACCCTGCCATGTGTTGCGTACAGCAGTGCATGCATCGGTTCAACACCGTATTTTTGACATATACATTTTCATGTTCGGGGAGGGGGGGGGGATCAATGTTACTTCACAGCGCTACCATTCCGATTCATCTAAGTGAAGCTCCGATGAAAAACGGAAATAATGTTAAAGATAGACTCGGATGGAGAGCCAATGATAAAATTATCGTAAAGAAAAGGACCAAGGAACTGGTAGAGTTAGTGGACATTATAATGTTAAAGATCTGTAGAAATTGGTGTGCTAATTCGAACAGTCTCGGTCTGATGAGGCTGCGATGTATCATTTGTCAGGATTTCCAATCTAACGAGTGTATATTGTGTTGCGACCTGGTGGTGAGGGCACTGGGCAAGCCGCACTTACATGTTGGAAATGGGCGATTTTTGGAGACTGTTTGATTGGGGTTCAGTGCAGAGCAGCAGCCTCTGGACCAAGACCATTCGTATTTGGATATGGCTACCTTTAGTTTGTGTACAAGTACTCTATTGTATTGTTTCTCTCTCTCTCTCTCTCTCTCTCTCTCTCTCTCTCTCTCTCTCTCTCTCTCTCTCTCTCTCTTTCTGTTTGCCTTTGCACCGCTCATTAGCTCATCAGCCGCAGATGTACGCCATACAAATGGTCCCATCGCACACATGTGCTTTTTCAATCGTCGCCTTTCAGTGTGAGTCCAGCAACCTTGTCCTTGAGGGGCAGGGGTCTTTCTTGCTGTTGGTCTTGTTGGAGTGGACTCACCTCCACATGATGTATGACAATTTACTGTCTGGTTTATGGAAAGGATTGCGCTATTCGCCTATTCACATAGGCCATGAGTTCTCTTTCTCAGGGTGAACATTTATATAAGCCTGAAGGGAAGATGAGAAGAACAGCGGAAAGCAGAAACGGGAGTTTGAAACAGTTCCTGGTTGCAAATTCTGGCGGCTCAAAACTGCCTGCTCAAAGTAGTCCCGGTGGCCAAATTCACGTGATGAAAGCGGTCCCTGATTGCACATCCTGCCTGTTTGAAATGCCTACTCTTTACAATCCCGAATGACACGGCCAGATCAGCATACATGTAGTTTAGACAGCCAGCGCTTGCTGCTTTTGAATCCAAACGCATGTACAGTCGTCCCTCTCTAAACCGGCACCTTTTGCTACGGCGTTTTCTGCTGGATTAACGAGGGTGCTGGATTAAGAAATCCTGCCCTCTGACCCGGCCCTACCCAATTGCATGCATGTATCATACGTCAAAACGCAGGGTTTTTCAGTGTCAACCCAAGTATTTGGTGCACGGCTTTATATTCTCAACTGTTCTCCAGGAATATACACAGTGATAAAGTGATAAAGTAAAACAGAGAACATGTTCACATGTACTCTTGCACACACACGCACCCACACACCTGAAAATTGGCAGCACACTACTCCTTGCTGTCAGCGAATTGTGAAAATATGGCAATCAGGTCTGCAGCAGTGATTGTGGCACCGCAACTCGAGTCAACTGAACTGAACTCTGAAGTGGCCCCGCGCGCGCGACACTGACCAGACTGGCCTGGCAAGGAGTGCACCTGTACGGTACGCAATTTACGACCGCCGGATTATGAAATCAAACTACGTGCAGTTTGAGCGATTCGTTTCAAAAAGTCACTGCCGGAGGCGGAATTCAAGTGCCGGATTAAGATGTAGGAATCGAACGAAAAAAATCAGTTTCGTCAGAAAGTGCGCCGGTTGGCAAGGGTTCCGGATAAACAAGTGCCGGATTAGAGAGGGACGACTGTACAGTGAAACCTTTTTAGGACGAACACCAAGGGACCGATGATGTTTGTTTGACTGTATCGTGAGGCCTGATTGTGCCCTCTGGCTATGTAGAAGGAGAGTTAAAGCCACCATGCATGCACAACACCACAGGTCAACTGGGTACCAGTTCTCCCTGCTTGGAGCGAGAGCAACATGGATACAGCTAGCAAGGTTTCGCCCCTGCTGCGCAACTGCCGCAACTGGGCCATCACAGAAGTTGAGCTTGACTCAACTTTTGCGATGCGACAAGCGACTTGGCGTACGATTTTGGCCTTTTCTACAGCAAAGTTGTACAAAGGTTCAAGAGTCGCCTATAAATTTGTACAAGTTGTACCAAACCGCGCGATTACCGTGGTGACGTACCCACCTGCATTGAACTTCGCGTCCAATTTGCAAGGCATCGTCGCATCGCTGACTTCTTCTGTGAATGGTATTCCGCGAGTTCGCATCGCACACGTCCGTTGCAGATCACGTCATATCACGTGTTGCATCGCAAAAAAAGCTTCTGTGAATCCCGCTTTACAGGGTATAGCCGTGATGACCTGGTACACACACACACACACACAAAACACCCGTACATGGTTAGTCAAGTATCATGGTGGTGGCCTGCTACAAGCAACACTTCCTAGCTGGTTGTGTTTCCAACACAGCTCTAGCCAGTGATAAAGCGAATGTGTAAACTTACACCTAAGCAGCAATGGTAGCAATACTAGTTACACCTGTTAGTGTTTGTCTACACAAGCTACACACGTGTACTGATGTCATGAACAGGAAGCGTTCTCAAGGAAATTATCACCCACCGAACCCTTAGTATGCCAGAGACTACATAGCGCATGCGTCACTTTTCTATCCTTGCTGATGTTCTGTTGTTATCACCAATACATTTATATACATGCTTTTAAACTATCAGGCCAGACTTCATTTTCTCTGTGCTGCCCTGACGAATCCATAAAGGTCGAAACAGTTCTGTGCGCAGATTGAATACATGAAAAAAATGTGCTTTGTACCACTGAGTGTTTCTATCATGCAGAGATAGGAATAGAGTTGTTTAACTCTGGATGAGATGTTAGCTCTCGGTCAAATTTCTAACTACAATGCTGATAATTGGGGAAATGTGTGTCACCCAACCTCTTCTTCGCAATGCTGATAATAATGCAGAAACGTAGAGCGCTCTCTGCTGGGATTGCAACTACATCATGGCTAGTGGTCAACCACCGGTGGCCTGTAGCGAATTCCGCGTGTTTGAGTTCTGGTGGTCACTGCCAACTTGTTTCTCCTGGCCTTTTCCCAGCACTCAAACTTTTGAATAGTGGTGCTGTTCACTAGATTAATATTGTACTATTCCTTGTCTGGTTCTCTGTCACTGTCGCTGTGCTGTACAGTGAGAGCCGGCGTAAGATTGAAGACTTCATCTTGGAGCTGTCACGAGCCACCCGCTCCACTTCTAATGAACAGAAGGTCATTGACAGTAGCAACGCCGCAACACACTGGTCTACCAAGTGCCAGGTGGGTGATGGAAGGAGGGTATGGAAAGAGAGAGAGGGTGTACGTGTGTGTGTGTGCGTGCGTGCGCGCGTGTGTGCGTGAGAGAGAGAGAGAGAGAGAGAGGCAGAGAGGGTCACAGGTCTCACCACGCGGAGTTGTGTTTTGATACGTGTGTGTGTGTGTCTGATTTATGCTTGCCCAGACTTCAGCCATCCACTTAACATCGGATACAGTTGAGTTTGTTGATGACGAAGAGGATGAGAAAGCTGAGGAGCCAATGCAGAATGGTGACACGTCGGTGCAGATATCCTCAGCGAGTGCTTCCATGTCCACTGCTGGTCTTGCTGTAAGTGAGCCTGCAATCTGTATACTTGCCTCTTTGTGTATTCAAGGGGGGGGGGGGGGTTGTACAGTGCTGGTCAATGGATCTGATCATGTGAGTCAACACTGTGCAGCTACAGCTAGTCCTGTTGTTGACCATGAAGCATGCACAGTGTAGGACACCACTAGGTGTGGAGTCATGTAATCGGATTCCACTGATCATCACTGTATAATTATACATGTAAGCCTTCAGCTTCTTACGTGTGCATTCTGCTGGAGTCCTGCACCGGCTCTGTCTGAATCTTGTTCTGTTACTGGACCCGTGTATGGAGCATTTTTTGGCAGAGATTGAGTACATGTACTACAGTTGTGCTCGGTGAAATCCAACCTAATTGACATACTGTATAAGTACAAATTTTCATTCACGAAATCTTTCGTTAGATCACTCCACACCAGCAGGCTTGTTACGTACTAAATTTCGTTTTTTGTCGAGGTCTGTCACCCTGAACGCTCAGAAAAAAGCTGTTTTAGTTATTACGTGCCTCCTAACGAATATAGCGAAAGTTAATTCCAAACGAAAATGTTGTACTTATACAGTACTCTGTGCCCTGAACTTGCACAGCCCTTGATGCTCTGGAAGTGGTATGGATGCGCCTGGACATAGTACAGTGATATATGTTTGTTTTTTTAAGAAAGAAAAAGCCCGTATATGCGCCCACCCAGTATCGCCAAGAGTACATAACCCCCCCAGAGTGTGCAACGCCGATCCAGCTCTGCATAGGGTCTTGGTCGAGCGGAATCGGATCTTCTGATGTCATGCGTACACTCCACACCAGCGCAAGGCCGGTCTCGAGGCAGGGCACCATTGTTTTTGATCCAAGAGTACCCGCGACTCCCCGGGTTCCCCTCAGATGTGTACGGTATTATGACGCAAAGATCCGATTCCGCTTGACCAAGACCCTATGCAGAGCTGGATCAGGCGTTGCACACTCTGGGGGGTTATGTACTCTTGGTATCGCCCACTACCCGTGTGCGCGCCCAGTTGCTGCGTGTCAACCCACTTGTCCCATTTTCTAGCCCACTCCATGTAAACGCCCTTGGTGGGAAGCACAGGCTCAGTACCCAGTGCATTGCATTGCATGCACAGCTCCACGTGCATGAACAGTACTGTAGTACAGGTGGAATCTTGATAATTCAAATATGGCTTAATTCGAACATACTGCTTAATTAGAAGTTTTTCCAGGACCGATTTCTATCAATACAATTCCCACATAAAAAATTCTGATAATTCGAACCTCGAACTGGATATGTCCCGGTTAATTAGAAGTCCCATAGATCCCACCTACATAGAAAATGTGTGGGATTTGTGCTGATAATTCGAAGTTAGCAAAGTGTAATTCGAAGTTCACTGTACATTGTACTGGTCAATTCAGTTTGCATGAGCAGGCTGTGCCGGTCAGTTCAGTATCCCTAAAATCTATGTCTAAGGTCCATAGCGCAACTCTGCATGACCATGAGAGCATTTTGACATACATATTGTGTTGTCGATTCATGTTTGATAATTAGAATGTCCGGATAATTAGAATTTTTTCCTGGCATTTTGAGGTTCGAATTATCAGGATTCCACCTGTATAACTATTGTACAGTGCGCTAGTGCCCAGTGCTAACCATATACGTACCTGTAGTAGTACAGCATGATGTGAACATTAGTTTGATTTCACTTATCCGAAATAGCGCCCGGGCCCAAATTGACACCCATGTTCTTGACCTTCACTAACGTTTCCGCCCAGGGCCTTATTTATATAGGCTTTTACGGTAATCAGAACTAGAGTCAGTGCCTATACCAGTCCATCAAGTTTGGAAAAAGATTTAACCTTTCTTCCATATCAGTCGAACTTTCGAGTTTCGCCTTTCATACGCAGTTTCAGTCGGTTATTGTTGATTTTGACTGGCTCGCCCGGGTTTGGGGTTAAGTTGCACTCACTTTCACTGCTGTGCCCTAATGTGTGTGTGTGTGTGTGTGTTGTGTATGTGCGTGCGTACGTACGTATGTACGTGGGTGGGCCTGTATTTGTATGCCTGCTTGGCTGTGTTTCTGTGCTTATAGATCACAGGCAGTATTCAAGCTCACGGTGGTTTCTTGATTGACACGCTGGGAGCACCACTCGTCACAGATCTACCAACAGCATCACCCTGCTTTGAGCCTCCTGCGTATCCACTCTGAAACTCTCCTCGGTGATTTATGTAGTCTGTTTCTGTTGTGCGCATGGTCATGATCGGATTGGATGATAATCGTGCTAGTCTGTGATTGGTCCACATTGCCTGGTGATATAATGTACTTCTTCTATGCATGCTATAACCTCTTGGCTTACTTGTAGCTCTTGCTGCACACACACACACACACACACACACACACACACACACACACACACACACACACACACACACACACACACACCCACACACTACCCTCTGGACCATCTCAATCTTGATACATGTACTGTAAACGCCTAAACGGGAAACCTTCGCGATCTGGAAACTTTCACGATTTTCGCAATGGGTGTGGAATCTCAATAGCAAGCCGGTGCTCAATGTAAACTGTTGTGAAAAACTGAAATTGACTCCAATCGCAAGCATTTCCAGATGCAAATATGTCTGTGTTCGCAAATCGCTACTAGTAACCAACGCAGACGTTCCTCGGTTTTCAGCAGCTTGCATGCCCGCGAGAAAGGCATCACTGAGTACAAGTGTTCACCATCATGCACCTTGAGTCGGCCATGTTTGTTTCCTTGACAACAGGTTGCTGTGGTCATTGTGTAGATTCCAGAGAGGCTTCCATCACATTCTGCCAGCTACTCAGGAAGAGATCACGGCCAAAGTTAGCAGGTATGTTCCATTGTTGCTGTTGTGGCCACTGTACTGCTGCTGTGTGCGACCCTGCCTTAACTTTTTACATTAGAATGTTGGTATTATTTCTCAGAGGTATACATTGTACGCTGCACTTATGTTCCAGAGAAGTGTGGTCTGAAATCTGCCCTGCGGCTTTTATCTCAAGCATGCCTTTTACCAAGAGTACATTACCCTCCAAGAGTGTGCAACTCCCACATACCCTGCTGTCCCGACTCCCGACAGAATTTGGAGTTGACGTCATTATTTATGATGCAATGCTCCTTGCACCAGTGATTTACGACATGTGGACGGGTGTCCACGCATCACACGTTCTCCTTTTCAATAATTCGTACAGGATCAGATGGGCTTTGGTCCACCACAGGTTCCGGATTTGTCTGATAATCCGTGTACAGTGCGCATTGCATCATAAAAGTGATATCAACTTGAAATTCTGTCAGGACAGCACCCATAGTCGAGTTGCACACTCTTTGGGGGGGGGGGGGGCCTCCAATCCATGACACACAAACAATCCTGGGCTACACCGCATACAACAATTGTTTTCCATAGTTTCACCCAGGAGGGCATCATCATGCCTTTTAGTTCAGAGAAATACTCAAGCTCCAGACAGGTACAATGTAGCTGTTTCACGTTCATATGTTTTATGGGCAGAGCTCAGAGTGAGTAGCCGAGGTGAGCTTTGCATGAAGGCAGATACTTTTGACACAAACCAGGAAGAGTGCTTAACTAGGAAAAGGCGAGTAGATTTAGAAATAGAAGTTGGACCATGATATTTTGCCTCAAAGAGGGGGGGGGGGGGGGTTATAAGCCCCTTTATCCTCCGAAATCCAGCAATGGCGTGGTTGTAACTTGTTTGCTGGGTGGTTGATGATTTAATTTGTGTGCATGTGTGTGTTTGTATGTGTTCATGTGTATGTTCTTGTGTGTGTGTGTGTGTGTGTGTGTGTGTCTGTCTGTCTGTCTGTCTGTGTGTCTGTATGTCTGTGGTATTGTGTGGTGTTGTAGGGGCGGCCTGTGCTTCAACTGTAGTCAACCTGGCCACAGTATCAGTGACTGCAAGGCGGTGAGTACTGCACTTTCTGTGTGTATTGTGTGTGTCTCTGTGCGCTCTCACCCACGCATGCATGCACTTGTTCCCGTGTGCACAAGTTCATACTGGTTATCCTAGGCAAGCACACGGCTACTTCTATTCAATCAATCCGGCATGCGACGGGTGTCTTGTTTCTGTTTTCATTTCTCTATCTGCAGCCTCGTGATGAAGGTGCAATCCAGCGCAATCGGCAACAGTTTGCCGCACAGCGTACTCCACGCACACCCAATGCAAAGTAAGAGAATGCTGGGCCCGAGAGGATTCAGTAAAATATTATGTTGTGTAGTCTTGTTTGTGTGAATGTATGCGCATCAGTGAGTCCACGACCCAAACATCATAGTACTGTACCCGAAAGGATGTGCGTTTCGACCCCGGATGTGGAAGGTCCATGTGATTCATGGTCTACTGGTATGCACACTCGCGATCATGGATCATAGCGTTGACCTGCTGGCTGCAACTTGGGCCCAAGTGCGTCCCAGACAAGCAGTGTAATGTGCAAGCGTGTGTAAATCGGCCTTGCCCCGAGGGCGACTGTAACATGCAGCCCGGGGTGGGAACCCACGTTTAGCGTGACAGTCCCCCCTCCCCCTGCACACTACGACTGCCTGGTTGACATTCATGCATTGGCTGCTTCGAATAGTGCTTGGTCTTGTACTCCTTACATCATAGAATGCGGAAGTTCTTTGCCCTAGTGTTGTTGTTGTGCAAGCTTGGACTTACTAGCTTTGAACAGATATGCCTTGCAGTTGCTAGTGGACTGTGATGATGATTTTAGGTTTGCAGCAATGGAGGACAACCTACCTGGGCGGGTGCCTTCCTGTGTTTATTTTCGTTGTTCTGTGTGTTTATGGACATGTGTGTGCATGTACGTGCGTGTGTGTGTGGTGTGTGTGTACATGTGTATTGTGCCCTGTGTAGTCGCTATCACACAGATCCAGCCAATCTCGGTGACGGACAGAGACCTAAATTCGAACCTGGGAAAATTAGGTACACACATGTCGTGTGTATTCATAGTGTAACCTGCCTACTATAGACCAGGTGCACAGTCATGATTCATGAATATTGGCTGGGTGCCAATTTAACAGATACTTTTTGTTGTTTTGACTCGCCGGAGCTCCCTGACTTATGCAGTTCGATCGGTCAGATGCTGCAGTATCTTAAAGATTGTTGATTTGGCATTTTATTTCAGTTGATCCAACATTACGTACTGGTAGATCAGTACTGGTTCAAGCAAGTCAAAAGTACATAGTGTGCCATGATGCTCATCAGTTTGAGGCATGCCGTAATGGCTTACATGTACATGATAACAATGGTGTAGGTGATAAATTCCGCTGTTCCAATCTCTCGTGCAGAGTTTCATACTCTGGTACAGTGAAACCTGTCTAAGACGACTGCTCACAGGACCTTTCAAAACGTTGCCTCTGTAGCCAGTTGGTCTCCTTATCCAGGGTCGTTTGACTAGAAATAACGTCCCTTTCGTCCTGGTTGCAGTGGTCGCCCTATCCGATTAGTCGCCAAGACAGATTTTACTGTACATGTACAGTCCGGCATTTCAAAACTATAGTCTAGACGCGTACCTAGGCAAAAACCGTTATGCCAGCATCTATACCACCATAAAATCTGTGATCACTTTGTGCATAATTTTTTCCAAATTGGGCGTCTGTTATCCAATCGTTTAGAAACTATATGAGAGTAATTGTGGAGCGGTCCTGAGCAATATTCCGAAAACTATTCTCAAAAGGTTCCCGCCAAATTTGAAATATTTCAAAAACCCTACGCGTCTATAGTTTTGAAATGGACTGTAGTACTCCTAATACCACTCACTGCACTGGCACAGTTACAGCCCTGTCTTGAATAATGCCTCTTACATGTAGGTTCTATTAGAGCATATGCATACGTTATGCGGCGGGGCTTTTTTCCAGCCGTGCTGCTACCCACAGTCAACTGGGAACTTGTGGCCAGGCACAAGGTACATGGATGTGGCTAATGGGGCTTGCAGCACGTGTGTCGGTAGTTGTAAGACGTATCTCTTCGCCCCACCTCTAGGCGCTGTATCTACTGCTGGGGTATTCCGGGTGTTAGCGGTCGCCGTGAGCTCCCTCGGAACTGGAGACGAAAAATTTACTATATTAAATACAATTTTAATATGTCAGAAAGCTCAGCGGGGAGTTGCCGTAACGATTTTATTCTAATTGAAACACTTGACGGACTTGAGCTGAACAATGTCAGGTGATACTGGTTACTGTAGTGATTCAATGGGAATCATTTTTGTAATTGTAGGATTGTTGGTACCTGTCAGGCTGCTTGTTGCCGTACATTGCCACCTACTAATCTAGGAAGGGGGAGGTGCATTCTGTGATCTGTTCCACTTCTTGGCCACCTCCTTTCCTTTCATATCATTCTGTATGTCGGTGTGTCTGCGTGTGTCTTTGTTGTGTTTGTGTGTGGCTATGGATGTGTGTGTGTGTGTGTGTGTGTGTGTGTGCGCATATGTGTATGTGCGTGTGTGTGTGCGTGTGCACGTGTGTGGGTGCGCACATGTGTACGTGTACATGTATGGTCGTGTGTGTGCATTATTTTATCATGTCAATGTCCCTCAATGACCGCAGTGCTGAACTACGCGAAGCACTGGGACTTGCTGAACAAGACGTTCCACTGCACATCTATCGTATGCGTGTGCTGGGCTACCCACCAGCGTATAGCATGCTAGATGGGCATAAACAGTACGGGACTGATAAGGTCAAGTGCACACTAAACCTCTACTCCGGGGAGAAAGGTATGTTAACATCATTCTCTCAAGCTGCCTGTTGAAATACTGGGCCCATGAATAAGTTTTCGTCCTGCGTCAGTGCACATCCCAGTGTTCACAGGTCTGGGGCTGCACACAACACAGCTGCGTCTTCTCATAGGGGACAGGCAAAGCAGCCCCTTGTCGCCAACAACCCCTTTTGGAAATGAATACTGGTGGAGGCACGCACCAAGCATATCGGTTCGGTGTATTTGTTGTGATTGAGGGACTGCAATTGGAGATTGACGGAAAGAAGGATGAATTTTGAGACGATTCCGAGCTGTCCGGAATTACTAGTAGTAGTAGCAAGAGTACATAACCCCCCCCCCCCCCCTCCAAGAGTGTGCAACTCCCACATACCCTGCTGTCCCGACAGAATTTCAAGTTGACGTCATTATTATTGATGCAATGCTCCTTGCACCAGTGATTTACAACATGTGTACGGGTATCAACGCATCACACGTTTTTCTTTGCAATAATTTGTACAGGATCAGATGGGCTTTGGTCCACCACAGGTTCCGGATTCGTCTGACAATCTGTGTACAGTGCGCATTGCATCATAAAAATGACGTCAACTTGAAATTCTGTCAGGACACCGCCCATAGTCGAGTTGGACACTCTTGGGGGGTTATGTACTCTTGGTAGTACTAGTAGGGCACTCTCTGCAACACCAGCATTTTGACATGACAAATTGGGCACTTGAGAGCAACAGATCAGATTGCATGGTGGCTTGGAGTCTCACCTCCAAAGTGTACTTTGACGAGATATTTTCTTTCTTTCGAAAATGGTTTTCTGTCGAGGTATTGGCACTGGTGCGAGTTCAGCAACTATGTGACCACCAGTCGACAGGTTTTAACCTGTTGTTGATGCTGCAGTTTCTACTGGTGGTGGTGCTGGTGCTGGTGGCCTTGACCTTGGCAGGGGCGGTGGTCGTGGAGGCTGTGACGGTGGCTGGTGATGTTGCTGTGTTGTGGGTGGTTGCTCTTGTTGATGCTGCTGACGGTGATGCTACTATGTATGTGTCTATTTCTGTGTGTGTTCATGTGTTTGTCGCAGATGAGGATGAAATGGAGGTGGATGAACCGGATCGCAAGAATACGCAAGCGGCCAAGATTGACTACACCCCAACAGCTAAGGAATGTATGTATGCGTTGTGTGTAGTCATGTACTTCAAGTAGTAGTTGTTACACAGGGAGCTCGCAGCGAGTTAGTGAGTGAGCCCCACAACAAGAACCTTACAGTTAAATACGATCGTCATTGCAGCAGTTTTTCCCAGATCAGTGCCCTTATTCTTGCTCTCAGATTCTCCCGTCGAAGTGTTTGGTTTTGATTCTGCTTGTAATGAATATGGTGAAGCTCTTTAGGAAACACACTAAATGGTCTGTTAGATTTTGTTTGCAATGCATGTAGTGGGGATCTGGGGGCACGAATCGGATGTACTGTCTTTGACCACTTTGAGGAGGGGCCGAACTACTCGCCTTCCACTGCGTTATGAGCTACATCTGCGCCTTGATCCTGGCGTACCTGCGGATGCGAAAAAGTCTGTCTGGCGGACTCTGACGCGAATGGTGAATTTTATTTTTATGGGGATTCTTAGCTGAGGTATTGTTATCTGTGCGTTATTCCCAGCGAGGTGTATCTGCTTCCCTTGCTTTTGCTCTTGGTTGTCTTATGATTACCGTTGTTCTTGTTTTTATTTATTTGTTTGCTCCGGCTGTGTGTGGGTGGGTGGGTGCGCGCGTGTGTGCGTGCATGTATGTGTGTGTGTGTGTGTGTGTGTGTGTCTGTGTGTGTGTGCAGCTATTCGTTACCCTGGCTTTAACTGCCCACTACCGACTAATGCCGTGGATGTAAGTAATGCGTCTCCAGCTTTCTTAGTGATTTTTAGCTATCGTGTTCACCCACATACAAGTGCGTGCCCTAATATGCGGGAAAATGCGTTTTTTCCCTTTCACCAGGAAACAAATGTTCCGGATATAAGGACATGTCAATATGAGTATTCAAGTCTTCAAAATAAACTCTTGGGTCTTGAGTTTTTTCCATGCCTTTTATATGTGGAGGTGCCCTTGAGAGGGAGAGAGACAGAGAGAGAGAGAGAGAGAGAGAGAGAGACAGAGACAGAGACAGAGACAGCCAGAGAGAGAGAGAGAGAGAGAGACTCGTATATATATTTTGCCACTCGTACTTAAAACTTGTACTGTCTGCTGTCACTCTTTCTGTCTGTGCTTGTGTAGAAATCTGGTTGGCTTGGCTTTCCGGCATATGGTGGCAGTGGCAACTTACTGGAGAAACCTGCCACCAGTACCACTACCGACAGCACGCCCGCGACGCCATCAGCAACTAAAGCTTCTGTGACAACTGCACAGATCTCCTCACCTGTTCCAGTTACTATCACCTCCAGCCCTGAGCCAGATACCGAGGTAAGCCATGGAAATGTACAGGCTTTTCTCTCTCTCCCTCCCTCTCTCTCTACCTCTCTTTCTTTCTTTGTGTCTCTGTGTCTCTGTCTCTCTATCTCTCTCTCTGTCTCTCTTTCTCATGTCTCGGTGACTGGAAGAAGCTCCCAGAATACGGCACCTTGTTACGATACAGTGACACTGAAGTAAAACATAGTGCCTAAAAGGATAAGGTCAGTGCAAAACACCGTTGGTGCGCAGACCGCAAAAAAAATATTGGCCACTCAAGGCACTGGTTGCAGAAACTGTTTCCGCTGATAGTGTGTGCTGAAAGCGAGAGAGAGAGTGGGCCACTGTGCTGGAATAGAACCGGAATGATAGGGTGGCGAAGAATCAGCTGCCATTGTCCGGGCTGACGATGTTACTTGGTCAACACCTCGCACCTCTCCGGATGAGAAATTTCCTCTTGATGTCCGCCAGCTTGTCTTTTAGTTGAGCTCTAGTGGAGCCGAAACTAAAGGACCCGCATCCTCATCAGCCTAAAAACCTAAAGCGAGGGTGTTGGGGATCTGTCTTGGTATTATCCTTGTCAGTACTGACAGTTGTCTCCTGTCTCCGCGCACGCCACACTGTCACATCGCATGCATTTATTCTCGCCTGCTATTCTGTGTGTGTGTGTGTGTGTCTCTCTCTCTCTCCCTCTCTCTCTCTCTCCCTCTCTTTGTCTCTCTCTTTGTCTCTCCGTTTGTTTGGTGTCTTCTCGTTGTGTTGTGTGTAGGCTGGAAGTTCTGCACCTGACCGTCGTCATTCAGCAAAGTTTGCACGCGGCGATTCTCGCAAAGACGGTGAAGACAGTCAAGATGAAACAGGTACAGATCTGTAGTGTATCTGTCTGTCTGTCCGTCCGTCCGTCCGTCTGTCCGTCTGTCTGTCTGAATACATTGCCTTGTGTTCCAAAGAGGAGGCTGCAACATTTGGGGCTCTGCGTTATTGTAGTCCTTCTGCACATCACTGGCATGGGGAAGCCTTTGCCTGCTGCCTTAGATCAGCCTTGGATCAGAACTTGTTTTTAGTTAGAAAGCTGTGGCATGAATGTGATTACGGTGGTATGAAGGCAATTACATTTTGAAACGTTTTCTTCATGCAGTGAAGTGTGCTTGCAGTGTGGGCTTGCCGACTCCCGAAGGTTTAGCAGTAGCTCAATAGCTTGCCACACTGCCATTGCCACCATGGTTGGTTCGGTTTTACCGCGTTTGGTCTGTTGCCTTACCTTGCTTTTCCATAATTTTTCATGTGTTCATTGAGTGCATTTTTATTTGTAATACAATCATTATGATGTCTTTGTTGTTTTGGGTGTTCTTGCTCTATTCAGAGGACGGTGAGATCTGCAGTGGAGATGCGTCGCCCAATGTTGCAGTTATGACCAACGCTGCATCGGTGTCCAACTCCACCTCTGAAAATGTGGCACCTGATGGTGCCGCTGCCGGTACTGCGAAGAGCACGGCTGTGTGTATTGACGACACTGACAGTGCTGATGATGGAGATGATCAAGCCGGTCGAGCACCCTCAGGACAAGGTCTGAACGGTGACGATGATGCTGCTGCAGCCAACCCTGAGCTGGCCGATTCTGAGCAAGTCATGCTGATCGACTTGAACCCGGAACCCGCAGGGGCTGTGTCTGCTGCTGCGGCTGGAGCACCGGTGATGAAGAGACAGTGGTCGACCGACTTCCCACCGGACATGGCACCGGTCGAGGGAGAGCTGAAACACACTTGGCTTCAGCTGCGTCGTATGATGAGCAAGAGTAGAGACGGCAAGGACGCAAGTGACTGACTGTGCGAGGGTAATGAGTGACTGACCGTGCGAGGGTAATGAGTGACTGACCGTGCGTGGGTAATGAGTGACTGACCGTGCGAGGGTAATGAGGTGTCGCGGCAAAGCTTAGGCAGAATACCTATCACCCTGGTGCTGTGCAGCACTCGGGCGGTACCACCACCACCACCGCTGTCATTGTCGATACTATCACCACCACCACCACCACCACCACCACCACCACCACCACCGCTGTCATTGTCGATACTATCACCACCACCACCACCGCCACCGCCGCTGTTGACACATTGCTAGGATCACTAGTGAAGTGGCCGGTACCACCAGCGCCGCCATCGCCACCGTTGCTGATACCACCACCACCACTGCCGCCGTTGATACATTGCTGGGATGACTAGTGAAGCGGCTTGGGCTTGGTACTACTACTACTAGCAGCAGTAGCAACTGCGGTGGCGGCCGTGTTGGCGGCTTTGTTAACCTGTGAGAGTGGTAGATTGCATGCACTTGCTACTCGAGTTTTCGATTGTGAATCTATGGAGGTCTGGTGCTGGCTGCGCCCTTTGCATCTTCTTGCTCTCTATTTATTGTAGCGAGGATGGACGGCTCTGTCGCGTCCAGTAGTGCTACTCCTTCTATTAGTTTGTGAATGACTGTTTTATTCCCCCCCCCCCCCTCTCTCTCTCTCTCTCTCTCTCTCTCTCTCTCTTGCTACTGTCGAGTTTCGAAGCCAGTTTCGAAGCCAGAAGCCAGTTCCTTGGTTCTGTATTATGTTGGTGTTGGGTATTTTGACTTCTGTTATAGCAGCATCGAGTGCATGATGATTGTACACTTGTACTGCAACTCTCTTGCTTTTCCATGTTTGGATTGTCCGTTCGATTTATGCTTCTGCTTTCTACTGAATTCTCTTGTTGTGTTATGTGGTTCCTGGCGGGTGCCGTAGTGCTTATGTTATTTTCATATCCTTGGTTTTATTATTTTGTCATGGTGGCAGCAGGTCTGGTGTGCACACTAGTCTTGCTATTCACCAGCAGTCACTAGTATGACTAGTACCTGCACTGCATGCAGTGTACTGCAGTAGCTGAGTTGAGTGTGACTACCACTGTGTCTGGATGCATGCGTATGTGTCATGTAGATCTACATCATGTGAGTGTGGGTGGTTGGGTGTGAGTACGAGTGTGCTTGAAATAATGGAAAAGAAGAAGAAAAAAACGACTGCTGTAAAGTCATGTATATTACTATAAAAGCCGCTGCTTACATGACTTTTTTGGGGGAACTTTTGCAGGCTTTTATCTGAGCAGGCTTCGATACAAGACAGGTATGTCAACACTAAAACCAAGCTTATGAAGTTATGTGCCGGCAGTGTAGTCTTGAAAACCAGGCTTCTATTCAAAACCTACTTCTACCGGTATATGAGACGGGCTACATGTACTACGGTGTGCTACTACTTCGAAGTAGTAGAGCAGGGAGTTCTATACAACTCCCTCGTATAGACCAACAAGAAGGGAAACCGTTCGGCGATCATTACCGGATGAAACAGCACACCTTCCCAGACCATTCACCTTTTCCTCCGATAACGATAGCCAAACGTTACATCAACCAATAGACGTCGACACACACACACACCACGCTCCACAGAGAAGAGTCACATGCATTAAATTACAGGGACCTTTGGGAGGGGTGGATCCCATCAGGACCATGGGGAGACATTCCCCCACTAACACCCCCCTCTTTAGCTCCTCACTTATGAGGGCACTTGAATTTCAAGTGGGTTCGAAGTTTCCCAGCATTCTCTCCCCCGGCCCCCCTTTAACCAATACGAACAAGAGTTCATAATCCTTTTATGTGCACTTGCCGATACCAGGGATACCAAACTTACAGAGACGCTCCGTAGCAGCGTAAATCTTCTTCGACTTATGTATTCAAGAAAGTATTGACCCTAATAGCGCGTGTAGTTACTTTTCGGCGGATCTCTGTTTTTTTTTATTGATAATGCACAAGCTGCACAACCCTACACAAAGGCGAGGACAAACAGCAACGTCCAGTAGATCTACATGTAGAGTAGGGGGCTGTACATGTACTTCTGTGCAGAGGTCTGCACCACAAAACTCGAACAACTCGCAGGGCCAACCTCTTTCTACACGCAGGACAGACGCTTGAAGTAGTTGCAGATCCTTCTTCAGACTACAAAAATACATGTACAAGTAGTATAACACTGTCTGTCAACAGCCTACAATGAATGTAGCCTTGTAGGTCTACAGGTGGAATCTACCATCAAGAGTCCACAACATAATAAGCATAACCCGTAGCCCCCTGGACTGGGGTCATATCATGAACTCTTGGTTACCTGCTTGCCAGCGCGCGGTGCACCGGTGCACCGGTGGTAGACAAAGTGGAACCAAGCTCGTTATGTACCGTGACATCGCACCATGCACCAGATTCTCGAGTGACTCGGTTCACGTTTGCCACGTGCTTTCTCAGAATTCCAGCCGACGTTGACCAATACTGCAATAGACGTCTAGACGTAGATCTACTACGTCGACTACTTTCTCTTCTCGAGCCTTCCTCTCACACAATCTCCATGGAAACAAACTGTTTATACAGTGCACATACAGTAATCTACCGGAGATGAACCTGTGACCCCATGACCCCTGCACATCTCACAGCGATCACGACTCGAGCTTCTCAGAACTGGTTCGCAGCTGCGGAATTTCCTTTGAACGCACTAACGGCTCATTTTCTTCGTTCTTGTTGTGGGAGGTGGTTTGCATTTCAGTTCTCTCTCCGAGCTTCTTCCTCTTGCCTAGCTGTTGGTGGCTTGTGTTCTCGTATCAAATTGCATTCGAGATGAACTGAGTTGTGACTTGTGTTATCATTATACGATGCCTCGCTGCGAGAAGTTTCAAGTAGCTAGTGTCCGATAGTGAACAGACCAATCCCTAAACCGCTCGCTAACCGTGAGTGCTTGCGCCCTGAAGCAGGGACTTGAACAACTTTCCGCCTTGCTTCAGAGAAACTTGGCGAAACAGTGATCAGAAGCAAAGACAGAGCTTCGCTATGTAACTACAGCTCCTATACGGGCGACTGCAGCGAAGGTAAGGCTTAATTTCGCTTACCAGCTGTTGCTAATAATCGTAGAGATAGTTTCTTTCCTGCCAGCTTCATTTGTTTTATGTGGTCCCCCTGTCCGGTATCTGTAATGTGTCTTCCTTTCGCAATTACCTACCTACCATTCCACTTACATATGCTATAATAATAATAATCTTTACTTTGTGGTGCTTCGATGCTGCTACTTTGCCGCTGTACCTAACCTCTATGCCCTTTCTGTTTTGTTCTCCTTTTCTTTCCTCCAAGGTGACCGAAGAAGTCGTTGCCATTATCAGTTGCACTGAGCATGCGCAAGTCCCGTGGAAGTGCACTGTCCAGCAAGAAGACCCTCCCGCACATGTCCTCCGTGCAGTTCTTTTGTCGACCTGTTGACGCTTTTGAGAACATCGGCGAAACGGTGGTACAAAGCAAAGACAGAGCTGCGCTATATAACCACAGCTCCGTGAGAAGTTTCAACCAGCAATAACGGGCGACTGCAGCGATGGTAAGAGTTTGTTTTCGTTCGCCATGTGTTGCTAGTGATCGTTGAGATAGATTCTTTCCGACCAATTTGTTCGGTGTGGCCGGTATTTGTTGTCCACTAAACACATGACTGGTATCTGTGCTGTGTCCTCCTTTCCCCATTGCACTTCGTGGTGCTTCGCTGCTGCTCCTTTGCCGCTGTACCTAACCTCTATGCCCTTCCTGTTTTATTCTCCTTTTCTTTCCTCCAAAGGAGATCGACGAACTCGTTGCCATTATCAGTTACACTGCGCATGCTCAAATTCCGTGGAAGAGTATTATCCAGCAAGACGACTGCAAGGTACATGTCCTACATGCCGTTCATTTGTCGACCCGTTGACGCTTTGTTTGCGAACCGGTGATACAAAGCAAAGGCAGAGCTGCACTATGTAACCGCAGCTCCGTGAGAAGTTTATACCTGCGGGCGACTGAAGCGAAGGTAAGGCTTGACTTCGTTCACCATGGATTGCTAGTAATCGTCGAGATAGTTTCTTTCCGACAAACTTCATTTGTTTGGCGTGGCCGGTATTTGTTGTCCACTAATCACACGACTGCTATCTGTACAGTGTCTTCATTTCGCAATTGCACTTTGCGGTGCTTCGTTGCTGCTCCTTTGTCGCTGTACCTAACCTCCATACCCTTCCTGTTTTGTTCTCTTTTTCTTTCCTCCAAGGTGACCAACGAACTCGTTGCCATTATCAGTTGCACTGCGCATGCGTAAATTTCGTGGAAGAGTATTGCCCTGCAAGAAGATTGTAAGCACGTGCAGATGTAGCTTTGGAGGTGTACAGTGACACTTACTTCTGTGCAGATAGTTTATCGCTCTGTTGATATGGACCTGTGCTCTGTGTGGCTTGCAGTGTCCGACGTGTCGCTAAATAATTCTTCACTCGCTATTTCGACTTGCACATGAGCCACGTGAAGGCCATTTCCACAAGCTTTTTGTAATGTGGACTACAGGAAATACCTAGCCTAAGCCCTTGATTGCCATTTAGTCACGCAGAGACGCTTTGCAACAGGTATACAGCGAAAGAGATTTTTGGTCTTTGACCACTTGGTTAAGGGTCTGATCTACTCATGTCCCACCGCTTTAGGACCTGCATCTGCACCTTGATCCTTGAGGGTGGTGGCATTCCTGCGGAAAACTCAGTCTGGTTAGGTCCCACGTGGATTGTGAATTGTTTAGGACAGGATTCTGCCTGGGCCAGGATTTGATGAACACAAGCTTTACTGCAAATCAAATCCTACCGGCTCCTGTACATCGTTCCAAAGACGTCAGTGTCTTCTGTAGGGTGTGTATAGATGAAATGCCCAAACAAATTGGCCACTTACCTTTCGACGGTTTCGGCACTGGACTGCCTCGTTGTGGTCCTGGGGAGTGTAGTACGTTTTCCATTGTTGTCGGCGATGCCAGTGCAAAGTTGTTTATACGTCCTCAAAGTCGGAGCAGTTTCAGGTGACTCATTTCTCCGACCTCTTCTTGGTTTTTTTGGGTTTTTTTCTCTGCTGGCAGTTCGTCATCTTTCGAGCGTCGAATATTCGGCTGGATTGCTATCGTAACGCTTATTTGGCAGGGCAACCGGCACACTCGCAATGGACTGCGTGCCTGCATCACGACCGCTGTACAGATTGGAGTAGCGGAGGGCATCGCTCCCCAAACAAAAAAGGTACAGTGTCTTGTCCTCTTGGTGGTCGGGTGGCTATTTCATGCGTTAACTTAACATTCCTGTTGTTCAGACAGTGTTGTACGAGTACATGTATGTCCAAGCGTGTGGACCTACACGTGTTGTGGTCGCTAGCAGCAACATACGATAGAATGCGTTGGCACGCGTCCATCTGTGGAGCGACGCTTTGCTGTTAGTCTGTTCGAACATTCTTGTGCTTGCTAGGCTGCATTACCAAAATAATTGCAGCTGTTAGCTGTAAGTACAGACCAATGCAATCTAGAGCCTGGTAGAGGCTCAGCTCATGGGGCCCTGTGACGGATATGTAGATGTTATGATGCTGGCGATAGGGTGCACTTCGAAATTCCGCCTCCGGAAAATATTCCTACTTTCAAATCCTGTTTACTCTGATAAAGAGCATACAAGACGGCTGACCCATTGATGGATATTGGATGACTTGCACCGAGGTCCCATGCTGCCTATTATGATTTTATGAGTTCCTCTTTATTATTCTTTGGTGAAAACTAACAGCCTGCTAAACTGCTAACCAGTTGATTCTAACAACAACGGGCAGTGTGAAGGTTTCGGTGTGACATCCGTCCAATATCCTGAGCGCATATGCCTTTTGTTTGCAGTTTCAACATCTGAAGGGCAACTGACTAACATTAGTAGCAACACCCTGCTCGAGATTTTGGATTTCTATTTCGCCAAACCATCCTAAAACGTTTGCCACTAATCGCCAGCATCTACTCATGCATGGCACCTTCAGAGAGGTGGTGCTACAGCCATCTGTACCGGCATTGCTGCTTTGT